AAACTATTATATACAAATAAGCTATATATGGGTTAAATTGAACACCGAAGTCACAAAGGTAGCAAAGAGAAGATGAGATTCAGGTCCTTTGAGTGTGGTTGAGTAGAAAAGCACTGAATTTTGGGGCAGCTAGGTGGCATAGTGGATAGAGCACTGGCCCTAGACTCAGGCAGACCTGAGTTCAAATCTGCCCTAGCTGTGTGACTCTGGGCAAGTCACTTAACTCAACTGGCTCAAAAAATGAAAGCACTGGGTTTTCAAATCAGAGGACCTGGCTTCAAAACCAGGCTCTGCTATTTGTTATCTATGTAACTTTGGGCAAGTCATTTCCCCTTCTTTTACAGATAAGGAAACAAGCCCAGAGAATTTGTTGGACTAGATCAGAGGTTCTGAACACTTTTTGTATCATGGACCCCTTCGGAAGTCTGGTGAAGCCTATAGACCCCTTCATAAAATAGCATTTTTAAAAGCAGAAAATACACTACATGGCATCACAAAGGAATTTCAATGACACTGAAATAAAGATGTATTTTTTCCCATCCAAGTTCATAGACACTCCCCCACACTCAAAACCTTCCCTTTGGTGGAAGAGCCCAGGTTAAGAAGCCCTCTAAGGTCACAAGATCAAAAACTTGGAACTGGATGGGGCCTTATAGTCAAGCCCCTCCCAACTCCCTTACACAGATGAGAAAACTGAGGCTGAAGGAAATAAAGTGACAAATAGCAGAACCAACCCAGGTTCTCTGACTCCAGATCCTGCCTTTTTACCAGCACACCAGGCTTCTCAAGGCAATACCAGTGGCACTTCTGTCTGAGTAGACAAGACCCATCCCTCCCACTCCACCCCCAAACAACCTGTCCCCCAGATGGAGAATGGTGTAGTACGTAGAGTACTGGGCTTAGAATCTGGAAGACTTGGATTCAAAATCTGACTTAAACATTTACTAGCTCCATGACCTTGGGTAAGTCACAGCTTCTTTTCTGACAGGGCTAGATTGGATCTCTAAGATTCCTTCCATCCTAAAATCTACAATCCCATAATCTATGGCACCCAACACTGGGTTTCAAGCAGAAGAGATGCACAGAGCTCGCGCAGGTCTTACTCTGGTATCTTATTTTCCCTGCTTGCTTCCTCTCACCCTAAAGCCTAACTCAGCAGATGAACACAGACCCAAGTAGCTCAGCAAGGCAAAATAGGAAATGCCAAGTGAGGTAATCAAAACCACTTGCACTCTTAGCAGAGGAGCTGAGGGGAGGCAGCAGCAGCAGCCCAGCCCAACCCAGCCAAGCCCCAGCCCAGCCCAGCCCTGCCCAGCCCAGCCCAGCCCTGCCCAGGTCACACAAACTATTCTGCCAAGCCCCTCAGAGCTCTGGAGCATCCCAAAAATGTAAAGAGAAGATGGTCTCAGAGGAGTTGGTTGAAATTGCCTCCACCTAGGGAGACAAAGACCTACCTGTTAGGTTACCGGGATCCTGAAGAAATAAACAAAATGCATGCAACTAGCTAGCACAGGCCCTCTAGGGGCTGCAGTAATAATGCTTGATAAGATATGCTATGAGTTAGTGATGGGTTGGGAAGGCTTAGCCCGTAATTCCCTTTTCTAAAGCATGTTAGAAATGGCAAAGTACTTTATCCCCAACCCTGTGAGGAAGATAGTACAAGGATTATCATCTTACACTTTACAAATTGAGGAAACTCAGACAACTCATTAGTGTTGGAACCAGGTCACTCCAAGCAGACCCCCCTTTCCACTATTCCACATTACTCCCCATTTTTCAGAACCTCACTCTCTTCTTCCTGAGCCACTTATAAGGATTCTTCCCTCCCCCAACATTTCCTATACCTCCAGAATTCATATTGGCAGGCCTACCATTTTGGGGGCTCAACCCACTATGGCAACATGACAGGAGTTTGTAAGCCTACTTCCATTTACATTCCATTACTTACACTTACTCAAAGGAAAGAAGAACAAGAAAAAGAACAAGAAAAATGCCAACAAGAAAAAAAAAGAAGGGTTTACAGAATCCTTCACAGAACTAACATTTGAACAGCTGAAAGTTTCCAAGCCAAGAGGAAAATGACAACATAGGAGGTGGCTTGCTGAGGAGATGAGGATAACCATCTCTACATGAGGTGAAAACAATCATGTTAGCTAAATCCAGCACTAATAGAATAGTTCCATGAACACATGTTTTCATGGAGTACATGCACCTGGGTACATGTTCTGGGTAGCCTCACAAAAAAGTGGGAAGAGACAAAAACATATAACATAATGGGTCTAGGTGACTTTTACAAGGCAAATCTCAATAAGGTCTGTCTACCGGGTCATAGTATCTGGGAAAAGTACAAAAGGCTAAGTCACCAGGGAAAAGCCTACATATTCAACTCTGAAGGAAGCCTACGTGTCTGTAAGCATCTAATGATACTTAAAGTCTGACTATGGTGGGGGTACAACTTTAATGCATCCGAAAAGGAAATTCATATGGCTTCAAGTCATCTGTTATACTCTGTGGAATTGGCTATAAGCAAAAGAAAAGGAAAGAGGTGAAGGAGGTGGCAGTTTCATTGATTTCAATCCTGCTCAGAGCACATCTGATATATTTTATCTAGTTACAGGTGCTCCATTTTAAGAAGATCTTTGGCAAACTTGAACACACACAGAGGAGGGTGTCCAGGATAGTGAAGGAACCCAAAACCATGCCATATGAGGTTCCATTGAAGGAACTGAGGGTGTTAAGCATGGAGAAGATCGAGGAAGGATATGATTAATGTATTCAAAGGGCTGCCACTTAAAGGAGGGGCTAGATTTGTTCTCCTTGGCCTCAGAGGGTAGAACTAGAAGAAAATGGGGAAGAGTTACAGAGGGGCAGAAATCACATTTAGTTTAAGGAAAATTTCCCTATGGTAAGGATGGCCCAAGGGTGAAATAAACTGCCTCAGGAAGTAAAGAATTCCATATCAGTGTGGATCTTTAAGTAGAGGTAAGGTGATTACCTCTCAAGGATGCCTCTCAATGTAGGCTGGACTAAAAGACCTAGGGTCTCTTCCAACTCTGAGAGTCCCAACCTTGGAGAGGAAAGAGGGGACTTAGTCAAGTGCATATTTTAACTAAACCCACAATGCGAGGGGATCATAGGGAAGACACTTGCAAATACAACTAATTGTAAGAAGACTTAGAAATCAGCCAGTCCAACTCCATCATTTTTTCAGAAGAAATGAAGGCCTGAAGAAGGATGGGGAAGTGCTCAAAGTCACATGGCCATCAGAAGCAACATTGGAATTTCAATTCAGATCTTTTGACTTCAAATCCAAGGCTCTTTCTACTTCATGCCTCACTTGCCTCCCTTCCTCTCTCTCCTCTTCTCTTTCATAAGTTGTATCCCATGCAAATCTGCAGTTTTAGTTCCATGTTGGAAAGGAGGAGAGAGGAACAAGATCATTGGGACATCCTGTACCCAAACTCTTCAAGAACTGTAAGAAGGAAGTATAGCTTCATAGGGAAAGACTTGGAGAAAGGAAGGTCGGGTGCACTGAGAATGACCAGTCAACAGAGGGATGTGCCAACCTGATTTATTTTTCCTCGTCTGTAAAATGGGGATAATAATAGCACCTACCTCATAGGGTTGTTGTGAGGTAATATATCTAAGGAGCTATGCAAAGCTTAAATCAATGTGTGCGTGTGTGTGTGTGTGTGTGTGTGTGTATGTGTGTGTGAGAGAGAGAGAGAGAGAGAGAGAGAGTTATTATTCACTGTGGTATGATCTGAGACTTGGAACCACTACCCCTAACAGTCCCAGTCTCTCAGAGAGGACAGTGGCTGGACCCTGCTGCTTCTCCCGCTTCCCAGGACATGCCCGGGCATCTTACTTTACTGTAGAGTGCTACTCTGAAAGTATCATGGTCCTGAAGTTCATCTGTGACAGAGTGAGAGTTTCCAAAGATATGTGTAGGGGAGTGGAAAAGAAAGGGAAATGAGGGAGAAAGAGGTGGACAGCTGTTGGCCTAAGGACAGAAAGGTGCTGTCCATTCTATTCCCGGGCTGTCCTCGAGACAAGGTGCAAAGATGCATGCCAGCAGGGCCCCTAGAGCTGCTGCGAAAACTCTTGTTTGGGCATCCGAGCCCAAAGTGGGGACGGGGGTGGGGCAGGGACAGGTAGTAGATTAAGGAAGCATTTGACAGAAGAAAAGCAGTAGAACCGTTCAAAAGCAGCTGGGGATGGGGTGAGGTGGGGGGAGGTGGACTTTCATTCAACAAACATTAAACTGTTTCTATGGGCAGACCCTATACTAGGCGCTGAGGTTGGCAAGGGTACAAAGTTTAGGTAAGGCACGACGCAGCCTTCCTTCGAGAAGCACAGTTTCATAGGATCAGCAGTAAGAAAGCTACCCCACTACCCCCACCCAAGCCATTCCCAAGACTCCGTGGGGTCAACGAGAATGAGCAGCGTCTCCCAATTTGGAAGCCCTGGGATTGCCGAGTAGTACAGGGAGAGAAGAGGAGGGGGATGGTTCTCGCAAAGACAGGACGGGCAAACCCCACTAGACTCCTGAGCGTGGGTGTGGGTCCAAGCGAGCCCATAAGCTCCTCACCCCCTCCCCCCAAGCCATTCTAACCCCCACCCCTAGAACTAGGTTGGCCCAACGTTTCGCGGTTGCAAACGTGAGAAAAGGCAGAGCAACCATGCCCCCACTTCCAATTCCCCGGCCGCCTTAAGCCGCGCTCGGATTCGGGGGGAGAGGAGGGCAAGGGGTAGAGAAGCAGGGCACTTGTTGCAAACAGTCTCAGAGAGCTATGGGACATCCAGACCCGCGCGAGTGGGAAGAGGTGACGACCCCTGCACGAGCACTCCCGCCGCCAAACATACCAATGCCAACTCCGAGCAAGCCAACCTCTCCCGTGCCCCAGGCTCGGCGCCCCTGGCCCTTGCCTGAGCCCAGCGCTCGGTCTCTAGGCGCCCCTCCGAGTGCCCCTTCCTCCCATTCAGGAGCCTCAACTTACCCCGCTGCGCAGGGGGCCCGGGGATCTCCGGCTGCTTCACATAGGGGTTTGCCAATTGGCTCTTCTCCCTTCTCACTGGCCAAATCTCTCTATCCCCCAGCCAATCTCTCTCGGTCCCTAGAACTGTCAGTGTCTCTGTCTGTATCTGTATCTCTGTCCCTCCTCCTCCTCCTTCTTCCCCCTCCCCCTTTCTGGTCTCTCGGCCCTTTTTTCCGGGTTAATTACGCTTAGCACTAAAGCAAAACGCAACCCCCGGATGTGAGTACAATGCTCGGAGGCCGGCCCCCAAGGGGAGTAGGGAGGGGGGAGTAGAGAGAGGGAAGAGAAGGAGATGTGCTAGGGCCAAGAGGGGCTGAGAGCCGGGTGGGGGTGGAGGGGAGCGGGTCTGGGTGGGGGAGGGAGAGAGAACAGAGGGAGGAGGTGGAAAGCGAGAGGCGGGGCCCCGAAGCCTGACAGGTCTTGGAGGGACAACCTCTCCCAGGTGGGAGCTGTAGATCCGACCCCTCCCCTCCCGCTTGTATTTCAAGGAGGAAGATTTTCTATAGCTAGACCCCCTTGCCTTTTGTCGCTTCCACTCTCTGGATTGCACCACAGTTCCCACTGGGATCTGGACAGATAAAGGGGTAGTAAACAGCAAAAGAGTTGGTGCACGAATTTGAGAATCGAAAAATGTTTGAGCTGGAAATTAATCCAACCACTTCATTTTACAAAGGAGGAAACTGAGGCCCAGAGATAGGAAGTGACTTGCCCAAGGTCACATAGCTTTGCAAGGGCTCCCTTTTATTTCCTGTTTTTTCCTTCCCAATATCCTTGGGAAGATTTGGCACTGGCTACAGAGGACTTGAGAAGACCAGGGTTTAAATCTTGTCTCTGCCTCTTACCCTGTATGTCTTTGAGCGAGTCACTTTCCTACTACCCAGTAAGTGACTTGGGTACAACCCACAATAACAAGCGGGGCTCAGTTTCATTCTTTGTAAAATGAGGGGGGGAGGTGTAGAGTTGGACTAATTTATCTCTGAGTTCTCCTCCCATTCTAACATTTTTAGATCCTTTGGACCTCAGTTTCCTGGTCTATAATACTAAGAAGTTAGATTAGATGGTTTCTAAGGTCTCAACTCTAAATCTCTTATATGATTCTATGATATGATAAACTTTCCTGTAGTTAAAGAATTAGGTTTAGAATTAGAAAGAGAACAAGGACAATGGATAGATAAAGCATTTATTAAGCTCTTACTATGTGCCTAGTCCTGTGTTAATTAGCCTGTGTGACTAACCTGATACTAGCCCTGTGACCCTGAGCACATCACTTCTCTCTATGTCCCATTTTCCTCATCTGTAAAATGAGAATAATAATAATAATACCATGCTGCCTATTTAACAGGGTTTTTGTCATGAGAAGACTTTGTAAACCTTTATTATTGTGGGTTGTGCCCAAGTCACAACTATGTAATAGGGAAGTTTACAGGCCTGAGAGAAGAGAAGTCACCTTTCTTGCCTTCAAGGAGCAAATGAATGTACACTGTAAAAAGGGGATTATAGAACTGGAAAGAACCTTAGAAATTTTCTAATTTGCCTCTCTCATTTGACAAATAAGGAAATTGAAATCCGGAGTTGATTAACCCAAGGTCACACAAGATTTCTCAAGATTTGAACCCAGGTCCCATGACTCCAAATCCAGTGCTTGTCCCCGTGGTATCACTCAAACCATCACAAGTAACTGACAAAGGAAAATGTACAGGAAAATATACATTCAAAAAGGAACATTAACAAATGTTCACAAATCATCCATTGCTAAGGAAGAGTGAATATATACACTGGTTATGCCACTGTAAATATGACAGTCTAGTGTGTGTTGGTCTCAGTTAATAATAGTCAATAAACATTAATTAAGTACCTACTATGTGCCAGGCACTGGGGAATTAAAGAAAGGCAAAAGACAGTCCTATCACTCAAGGAGCTCTTGGTCTAAAGGGACTGGCTCCCAGAAGTCTTCAAGGAAGAGGTGGAATTTTAGGAAAATGTTGAATTATAATAATTCATTTATGGAGTGTTTTTACAGTTTAGAGAACACTTCCCTCACAACCACCTTGTGAGGTATATAGTCTAAATATTATTTCCCCATTTTACATATCAGGCAACTCGGGCGCAGAGAGAGGAAGTCTAAAGGCAGTCACATGGGTAATGAACAGCAGAATCAGCTGGGACCCATATCCTCTGCTCTTTCCACTGCACTTCTAAACAGAAAGCACACATTTTATTTGCAAAGAATAGTAATAATCACACATCTCTATTGGCCTCTAATGTTTCCAAAGCCCTTTTTATCATGACAAGTCGGTTCTGACAAATAGCAAAAGTGTGATTATGATCCCCATTTCTTGCAGATGAGGAAGTGGAGGCTTAAGGGACTTGCCCAGTGCCTCACAAGTTGGAATTAGGACTGGAACTCAGATCTCTCCAAATTCTGATCCTAGGTCTTCTTCCACTATAAAACATTACCAATAAACAGAATGCTATGATCATGGGGGAAATAGAGGAGGACCTAAATCCCTGAACAAATACACCAAAGAAACAGGGGGGAAAAAGATGCTAAGGCTAAAAATCAGAGTTTCTAACCATGAAGGGCTGGAGTCAGAGAAATAGAATTATGTTGGGTATCCTGAAAGTCTTAGTATTTATAGATCTGACCATGTCACTGGGTCCCTGTTACCTCTGGGGTAAAATAGAAAATTCTCTGACATTTAAAACCTTCCACAAACTGGCTCTCACCTACCTTTTCAATCATTCCTGTTTCTCCCCCCACCACTCACCATTATAGTCAAACTGACCTATGAGCTATTCCCCCAGAAATGACATTTCATCTCCTATCTCAGCACCTTTGCATAGGTGGTCCAAGAGACAGATAAGGAAATTGAGATCCAGAAATGATTAACCCAAGGTCACACAAGTAATAAGTAGCAGAGCCAAGATCTGAATCTACATCCCACGACTCCAAATCCAGCTCTTGTCCCCACAGTATCACTCAAACCATCACATGTAACTGACAAAGGAAAATGTACAGGAAAATACACATTCAAAAAGGGACATTGACAAATGTTCAGAAATCATGGAAGGAGGAGTAAATAATTAAGCACCTACTATGTGCCTAGAGTTCACTCCCTCCTCTCTACCTTTCAAAGTTGGACACAACTGAAATGACTGAACAATTTTTTTTTTTTTTAAATAGTCCCCACTCTCAAGGAGCTCACAATCCAATATGGGCAGAGGATTCAGGGAGATAACACACAACTAACTGCTTACAAACAAGATATATAGGATAAATTGGAGATAATCTCAGAGGGAAGGCATTCCTAGAATTAAAGGGGACCGTGAAAGACTTCTTGCAGAAGGGGGGGTGTTAGCTTAAACTTGAAGGAAGCCAGGGGAACCAGGAGGTAGAGAGAAAGAGGAAGAGAATTCCTGGCAGATGGTGTGTTTTGTGAGAGGTACAGTAAGGAGGTCAGTGTCACTGGATCATAGCTTATGTGGAGTAGGGTAAGGTGTAAGAAGACTGGAAAGGCCAAGTTAGGAAGGGCTTTAAAAGCCAAAGAGAGGAATAGTCCACTGGTATCTGATCCTGTGGCTAGCAAACTCCCACGTTTCTCTTCTAATCCTTGTGATTCAGCAAAACCTCCTTCTCTCCACTACCTCCTCTGCCCTCCACTTCCATTTTATCCTCTGGATAATTGGTTCTACTGTTAAACTTTTCTTCATTCTAAATCTCTTCTTCTCACACTTTCTTTTTAAAATTATTATTTTAATCAATAAAATCTTCCCTCTCTCACATTCTTTCCATATTTTCAACTGCTGAGTTAACATTATATCTTGGTGGATTAAGTGCTGGATTTGAGATTAGAAAGTATTCTCTCTCTCTCTCCCTTTCTTTCTCCCTCTCTCTTTTTCCTTCTCTGTTTCTCTCTTTCCCCTCTCCCTCTCCCTCCCTCCATCCTCTCTCTTTCTCCCCCTCTATTTCTCTCTCTTTGCCTCTCTCTTTCTCTCTCCCTCTCTTTCCCCTCTCTCCATCTCTCTCTGCTTCTCTTTCCCTTTCTCCTTCCTTTTTTTCTTTCCTCCTCTCTCCCTCCTCTCCCCTTCTTCCTCTCTCCTTCTTCCTCCCTCTCCCTCTTTCTCTCCTTCTTCCCTGTCTCATTTATCTCATCAGCATCCATAGTTTCTATTATCTCTACACATATGGCTCTCAAGTCTACATATCCAACCCTCATTTCTGCTCTGTGCTCCAGAACAACATCTCCAGCTACCTGTTGGATATTCCCACCTAGATGTTCCATAAGCATCTCAAACTCAATGTGTCCAAAGCAGAACCCCTTATCTTTCTCCCTCAATTTATCCTATCACTTAATTTCCCTATTTCTGTAGAGGGCACCACTACTCTTTCAGTTACCTAGGAGAGTTGAGAAGCCATCCTCAACTCTTTACTCTTGCTCATTCCTCCATATTCAATCAGTTTCTAAGTCTTGTTGATTCTACCTCTTCAACATCTCTTCCATCTGACCCCTTTTCTATGGTCACATTACAATGATCCTAGTGCAGACTTTCCTCACCTTTCCCCAGGCCTACTATAATTACCTCCTGGTTTCCAGTCCTGTCTGCTTTCCAATCCATCCTCTGTACAACTGTCAAGTTGATCTTCCTAAAGCATAGATCTCACCTTGTCATTCCCCTGCTCAAGGAGGTTTCTGTGGCTCCCCATTGCCTTTCAGATAAAGTCTAGATGCACATGTCCTTTAAAGTCTTTTGCCAGCTGGATCTAGCCTATCTTTATAGGCTAATGACACATTACCTGCTCTCCAGCCAAACTAACCTATTTGTTTTTCTCCTGTGCCAGACAGCCTATCTCCGGCCTTCCTGCCTTTGCACAGGCTGTCCTCCATGCCAGAAATGCTTTTCCTCCTCATGTCCCATCCCCTTCAAGAGGCTTTTCCTGATTCCCCCAATTGTTAGATCCCCTTCCATTATTCTGTGCTTGCTTTGATCTCCAACGCCTTCTTTCATACATATATTTTATATTTACTTCTTTGTAAACATCTACCCCTTCTCCCACCTTGTCCATAGACTGTGAGCTCCTTGAGAACAACTGTCTCACTTTTGTGTTTATATCCAGAACATCTAGAACTGTGCCTGGACATAGGTAGTAATGTTTATTGATTCATTAATGTGATCCTGGGCAAGTCACTTAACATCTCTGATCCTCAATTTCCTCATCTGTGAAATAGGAAAAAAGAATAGCCCTTACCCCATAGGGCTGTTAAATGAGAT